TTTCACCAAGAAATGCGAAAACTATGTGAGGTAAGTGCGGGCGGGGGGTTCGCACCGATGTGTGCAGCTTGCCAGCGGGCGTGTCTCGCTCGTGCGCGCAACGGGCGGCCGTGTTTGCGGGGACGGCGACCAACAACACGCTCCCAACCTCAACCCACAGGTGGCCTCGGTGCTGCAGCTGCTGCAGCGCGAGGTGCACAGCTATCGCACGGCCGCAGCTGGCGGCCAGCTGTCACAGCTGGTGCAGCGGCCAGATGTGTCCCAGCTGCGCGGCCGCCAGGTCGCGGGTGCAGTGCCGGCCCGGGTGGTGATTGTGGGCGCCGGGGTGGCCGGTCTGGCCGCAGCCTCCCGACTGCGCTCCGGCGGCCTGGACAACGTCTCGGTGCTGGAGGCCAGGGACAGGGTCGGCGGCAGGGTGCACTCTGTGCCCATGGGCTGCACAGGCACCACCAAGGTGGCTGTCGCAGACCTGGGGGCCAAGTGGATCCTGGGAGCGGGCGTCACCAACCCAGTCCATCGCTTGCTGGGTGCGAGTGAAGGCGCCTTGTGTCTGCGTGCAGGAAAGCCAGAGCAGGTGTTTTACGAAGATGGCAGAGTGCTGGACAGAAGCCTTGTCAGAACAGTGCGCAGATTAACGGAAGAGATGGTGATGAAGCTGGGAAGCCCCATTGATGTCGTACACTCTGATACTTTGAAAAACTATATAGATGTTCACACGCGAGAAATCCTTAAAATGTTCCCATTGAAAGATCAATATGATGCGGAGCAGATTTTCTGCTCTCTTATTGAGGAAATATCATCTGAAACTGGATTGGATTGGTGTAAAATGAATGTGCCTTCATTCTGTCAGTATGCTAAATTGCTTGGCAATAAAGTGTCAACATCATCTGGGTTCCAGGATGTCCTTTCCCCACTTCTTGATGATATTCCTCCTGAAAATATACTGCTCTCCAAGCAAGTCTCCAAAATTGTTGTGGATAAATGTGAACTTGGTAATGTCAGGGTAGAGTTTTGTGAGGATGATTTTCTGCATGCAGATTTTGTTATTTCGACTCTCCCTATCCCTGTGCTAAAATTTCATGGCGAGAAAATCTTCGGTTCTCAATTTTCTAATGAAAGGTTAGATGCTTTACATGAAGTTCAAGTTGGCCTTGTGAATAAAATCTACCTCCATTATGATCAGCCTTGGTGGAACTATCAAGGAGGAGATATATTCATTGCTAAATCATTTGCTACCCTGCAGCATAGAGACGACTGGAGTAAAGGTATATATTCTTTCAAAGTAGATAACAGCCCTTCATTAATATCCTGTCAGATCGGGAGCCGAGAAGCTTCTCTTATGGAACAATGTTCAATAAGTGAAATCATAGAAACTGTTACAGCTACCATTCGTGATTGTCTTGGTGACATTTCAGTTCCATATCCCAATAATATTATGATCTCAAAATGGGGATCTGACAGATTTAGTTGTGGATCCCATGTTCATACGCCATGTGATCAAGCTCAAGATGTAATAAGAACTCTGTCAGAGCCCATAAGTGGGTTGAATGATGTACCTGCAATTTTTTTTGCCGGTGATGGCATGTGTCCACATTACTTTGGAACTGTACATGGAGCTTATGTCAGTGGAGTTCAGCAGGCTGAGCAAATAATTAGCTTAGTAAAGCATTTAAATGACAAGAAATGATTTATTTCTACATGTACTGTATGTTAACACTTTGTTGGTAATATCAGTTTATAGACACTGTTTGGAACTCTAATAAATTCAACCCCCAAAATTAATGAGGTTTCATTTTTTGTTTTGACTGCTGGTATTTAAACTAACCCTTTCTTTCTTTCCTTATCTTTTCTTGTTTATAGTGCAAATGAGGAGACCGCAGAAAACATTAAAATATTTCTGAAGTCTCTATATGGCGTGATTAAAGGAACAGAAGAGTCGGAGGGCCTTTCAAGTGGTGAGACCCTTCCTGAACTGATTGTTGACAACTTTGATGAAGAGCAAATTTGGCAGGTGAATAGTCAAATTCTTTAATTAGCTCTTTGCTATAAGAAGCTGTTGCTGCTCTACAATTTATTTACAAAAACAATAAGTAAATAATGTTTGGTTTGTTTACAGGAATTAGAACTTCAAAATGAGGCTCGGGTGGACTCTCTGGTTGGCAATGTTGCAAGATTAGTTGCACAAAAAGACAAGTTTTCCATTGACAAAGGTTTTGGACAAAAAGCCAGTGGAAAAGATGGAAATAAAGTCAAAGTTAAAAAGTCCAGCACCACTGAAGCTTATGATGAGGAGAAGGAAGATAATGATGATGGAGACAGTGATGATAATGATGATGAAGATGCTTCAGAAAATGACCTTGATTTTTCCCTAGACGATAATGATTTGGAAGATGAAGAAATTGGCGATGATATGGATGAAGAGGAGGATATTGGTGATGATGATGAAATTGATGAAGACCTCACTGACGCCTCGGATGATGAACACAAAGAGAAATCAAAATCTAAAAAAGGTAACCTTAGCATTCAAGTTTTGACTAAAATTTGCTCTGTGTACTCATGTATAATTATTTTAATTATTATTTTCAGTTATGCCACGAAAGTTTAGTACCCCCTCTGCTGTTGATGATAAATTCTTTAAACTATCAGAAATGGAAGAGTTCTTAGAGAGGGAAGAACGTGAGGATTTTGATGACGGGGACGATTCATCTGAAGATTCAATTGATTTGTTTGATGACATGCCATCAGATGAATCCGATGGTGGGGAAGAGGAAGATGATGATTCTCAAGATGTAAGCTGTTGTGGTCTTAAAATGAAAAATTTATTAGATTAGATTAAAGTATATTGAATCCTATGTTTTTTTTTTCCCTTTGTTTTCCTTAGGATAGCAAAAAGCCTCACTACTCCGACTTCTTTGATGCCCCAGATCAAGAAGATCAAGATAACATTATATCTCCTGAGAGTAAAAGTAACAAACCGGATAAAAAGAGAAAAGTGTGAGTGTATTATATTTAAATTTTCAATCATTACTTACAATTGCAATTACTTATAATGAATAATATTAACAGGAAATTTAACTTGGGAGGCATTTCTGAGGATAATAGGGAAGAGGAACATAATAAATCAGATAGTGAAAGTGATAATGATTTGGAAGATTCACTTGACGATTCTAGTAAAGGTGGAAAGAAATCTTCATATGAAATTCGACAGGAGAGACTTCAAGCCAAAATTAAAAAACTTGAGGAGGAAGCTCTGTCTGAAAAGCCCTGGCAACTCAGAGGAGAAATTACTGGTGAAAGTAGGCCTGAAAATGCATTGCTAGAGGAAGCTTTGGAATTTGACCTCACTCATAGGCCAGGTGTGCACTCAGTTTCTAACATTGTTGCCATCCAATACGCATTTTAGTCTTGGTATGTGATTGAAAATTATTTTCCCTTTTAATTTTCAGCTCCTGTAGTAACAGAAGAAACCACACAGAGATTAGAGGATATTATAAAGCAAAGAATCAAAGACAAGGCATGGGATGATGTTGAAAGGAAAGTTAAGCCAGTAGAAGTTTCTGAATTCAAGAAAAAATTAGTTCTGGACCAGGAAAAGAGTAAACAAAGTCTTTCTCAGGTGTATGAACAAGAATATTTGAAGCAAGTTGAAGCCAAAAATCCTGACACAAGTGACAAACCAGAGGAAATACCCAAAGAGCACATTGAAATCAAAGCCATGGTTAACTCCCTGTTCCGAAAGTTAGATTCTCTTTCAAACTTCCACTTTACTCCGAAACAGGTTTGTGTTGCTACAGTTTTAAAATTTAAAATTGTAATATTTCTTGTGAATCAACAGAAGCTTAACAGTCATTTCTGATTCACAGGTTGCTCCTGAGGTTAAAATTGTTACTAACATTCCTGCAATTAACATGGAAGAAGTAGCACCTGTTGCCACTAGTGATGCTACATTGTTAGCCCCCGAAGAGGTCAAAGGTACAGTATTAACTTTGTCAGTCCTGTTCGGCCTCGAAAATTTTTCAATTGCTAAAATCATTGAGAAAAAGAGTAATTATTAATTACTGTGTTACATTAAATTGCAGCTAAACCAAAAGGTGATATTAAAAGTCAAGGGGAAAAGACAGATACTGATAGAAAACGGGAGAGAAGACAGAAAAAGAAGCATCAGCGACTTGTTGGTAGAGAGCGTGAGAAAAGAGAGGCAACTGTAGCCAAATTAAAACCTGGTCTTGGCAACAAATATAGCAAAGAAAAAGCTGTGAAAATGTTAGAAAAACTTAGTAAAGACAGCAATGTTAGTTTGGTATGTATCAACACAAAGTTTAAAAAGTTGAATTAACAGGGAGGAAATCAGTTTTTTATTTTTAACTTTGTTTTTTAATTCCTTGGCTTTCCCATTGTAGATTGAGAACACTCGCGGAGCCCCGGCTGTCAAATCATCGAGTAGCTTCTTCTCGCAACTGCAAGATGAAGTTACTTCACAAATGAAAGATAAAACTAAGATTGTAAAGAAACGTAAAGCTGATACTAAATCTTTGTCAGCAAAACGTCTAAAACTATAGGTTGCCACTTAATTCAGTATGTAATTTTAAGATGAGCTATGTTTAGAAAATACAATATTGTTGAATTTTAATGTTTTATTCTGTGAAGATGCCTGTCTGAGAATGTCCCCAGAGCTCTATAAATAAGTATAGGAGTATCTCGCCTCCAGACACACGCAAGGGGCCGCTGTCTCCTGCTGCCACACCAGCCACACAGACAACTCGCGCACAGATTGCCTACCCTGCAGGCGCTCAGCCACAACACTTCTCTTGCGGTTGCACCCTGCAGCCACACACGATGCACCGGTCGGGGGTGAGGTGCCTCAAAGGCTACCTTGGCCTCAACTCATCCCTTGGAGAGTGGTCGGTCGGAGAGCTCCCTGAAAATAAAAATAAAATGGAAACACCTTCGAAATCAACTGGAACAGGGTGAGGGGGTAGTGGGAGAACGAAAGTCGGTAGAGCGTCCTAGGGAGCTCTCCCATCGTCGTCCTAGGTTCCCCATCATAGAGTCCCATACGACTCTAGTTCCCCACTGCGCACTGCGGCCCCATGTTGCTTAAACCGCGAACGACTGAAATTCTGAAATTTCGTTTTCGGGGGTTCCCTCGCACGCTGAGTGCTGAGTCCAAATCTGGCAGTGCCGAGGTCGTCCCCCCCCCCCCCCCCCCTGATTTGGAAGATGAAGAAATTGGCGATGATATGGATGAAGAGGAGGATATTGGTGATGATGATGAAATTGATGAAGACCTCACTGACGCCTCGG